TTGGGGATTGGTCCTGCTTTGAGCAGGGGGTTGGACTAGATGACCTCTTGAGGTCCCTTCCAACTCTGATATTCTATGAGTCTATGATTCTATGATTCTACATCTATCCAGGCACAGATTATAGCTACAGTTGTACTCACCTCCTCCTAGAGAGTGTTCGAGTCTGACAGCGCTCTCCTGGATTATCAGGACAGGGAAGGCTTCTGCTGGAGTTTTCCCATAGGAAGCTCAGTTTTCCCACTCTGGGCACCCTCTTTTATCAGGCGATTCTGTCTGTACCTCATCCTCTGCCCCTGTGTGTGAAAGTATCAACCCTCTTTTTCCTTATTTGTATTGTGTCTCCCCAGAATATGGGGGTACTCTGCTTCCCATAGGTTGTGTGTAGTTCCTTTTATTCTCATTAGCATGGACCTGTATCCGGCGGTTAAGGCCCGTGTTCGAAAAAAATGTGCGGCTAGAGCATTTTGTGATCTAAAATTAATCTTACGGCTAATTTTTCACAATACCATCCCATGGCACTTCTCTTCCCGTAACTTTATGGCATTGGGTCGTTCTTCGGTCACTTACTTATGGCAAGCGTTTCTTACCTCTAAGGCCTAGTCTGGCTAAGCTAAAATCTTACAGGCCTCAGCCTGTAGGCCTTGCGTTTCAGCCCTCCTTATCTAATGCATACTTATCCCTTGACTGCTGATCAGGCTTATCCGTCTATAATCCTAACCTCACACAACACCCAGTACATGAGTAATCAACTAAAGTAATTGGCTATGTAGGGGACCCTGTGCCACAGGGAGTCAGATAGGTGACTCGGGGAGTCGGTGCTGGCCCCAGTGCGGTGCTAGGGGACCCTATGCCGCAGGGAGGGGGATAGGTGACAGGTAGCCAGTGCTGGCCCCAGTGCCCCAGCGTGGCCGTGGGGGTCACTCTCCCTTTGGAATCAGCACTGACCCCAAGCCCCCAGCTTGGGGAGAGAAAAGCGAGGTCCTGACCTGTGGTGACAATTCAAGCCCCTCGAGGGGTCACAGCCTGTGGGCTCCCTGAGCTCCGCTCTGTGCTCTCAGCTGAAGGGGCTCCGTTTCGTTTCCTGCCCCCCGCTCTTGGGTGGTGGGCTGCGCGCTGGGAAAGGCTCCAGTGTGTGCTGCCTCCCGGAGGTCTTGGATCCTGGGGGGTGCCCAGATTCCACCTGCCCACGCTAGTAATAATGACTCAGCTCCAGGCAGCTTTCTATGGTGGAAACGTTACGATGGAGCCTTAACCGCCCTCCTCCCCCTACCCCCCATTGCTCTGGGAGGACGTTTAAGACCCCAGGGCAGACAAGGAAAGACAAGGCATTTACCATCTAACCTGGGCCAGAATTGCCTTTCTGCCTCCATGCTTGTTCTACAGCGCACTGGGCTGCTTGGCACCCTCCCACCCCAGAGGCAGCTGCATTTTGGGAGCGGGGGTGTGAAACGATCCCTGTACACTTTAAAGTGCTCTGGAATCCTTTGGGGTGAAAGACCCTATTGAAACAGAAGCCACCGTAGCAGCTGGACAGCCCTGCCACATCATGGCCACCCCTCGCCGAGGCAGTTTCCATGGCTGCTAAAGCCAGAAGGAATCACATAGTCTGGCCTGCTGCCTAGCACAGCACTTCCCCCAAATAATTCCTAGAGCGGCGCTTCAGAAACCCATCCCGTTAATGCCTGCTGATGTAACACACTTCTTCTCCTTCCCCCTGGCCAGAGGACAGCTGTGAGCAGGACACCAGCCAGGACGGCGGCCTTCTTGCAGAAAGCCGGTAAGGGATCAATCACAAATACAGCCTCCCCTGGAGAAACCTGTCTTGGGTTGAGATCTCACCCTCCACCTCCGCAGGGACACCGAGAGCAGCTTTCTAACCCTTTCCAGCCCCGAGCTTGCGGCTGTCAGGGGACGCTGACGCCACGCCCAGGTGCATAGTGGTGCCGTGGGCTAACGTGGCAGCGCTTGCCTTTAGAGACCTGGGTTCAAATCCTGGCTTAGCACTGAGGGGAGCCTGGCTTTGGGTCTAGTTCCCATTGGTGTGGTTTGCTGCTATTATTTGAAAATGACCCGCCATAGGACTGGGAGTGCAGGAGGGCTGTGAGTGGGGGGTGAGGGGCGTCAGCAGAGCGGGTGGGGGGAGCCCAGGACAGGTACAGGTGCTCCAGCTAAGGTTTTGGGGCAGACAAGGGAAGGAAGTTGGGACTAGCTGGGGGTGGGAACGGCAGGTCAGACCTGGGAAGCATTGACAGAGCTGGGGGTGGGGCTGCAGGCCTGGGGGAAAGCGTGAGGTGTGACAGGAGCTTGCACAGTCTCTGGCTGGAGCCCCAAGCTCTCTCCCGGCACGTGACAAACACTTGAAGGGAGCAAAGAGCTGCGCAGACACCTGTGTCTGCTCTGCAGGGCGTGTCCCAGAGCCTAGGCCAGGGTGGTGGAAGACTCCTGCGAAGATGGAGCTAGAAGCCCAGCAGGGAGAGGCGGCCCAGGTGGCACTGGGCTCGTGCATGGTGCTGGACAGAAGTCTAGGGTTACCATATTAAAGGTTTTTAAAAAGAGGACACTCCACGGGGCCCTGGCCCCGCCCCTTCCCGCCCCTGGCCCTGCCCCAACCCCGCCCCTTCCCCCAAGTCCCCGCCCCAACTCCGCCCCCTCCTCTGAGAGCCCCGCATTCCCCCTCCTCCTCCCTCCCAGCCACGCGAAAAAGG